CAGGGCTGGTCTCCCGCCCAGGGCTTGGGTCGGCGGGCTGCCTGGGGGCCAGTGACGAGACCTGTTCTAAGGTCGGGGCAGCAGGGCTGGCGCTGTGCCCCACTACTTTGGGGAAGATCCGAAAAGGAGGTTGCTGGGGGCAGCGCGGAGCCCCCCGCAGCGTCTTGTGATGGTCCTCTCTCGGGAGGGAGTCAGCCTTGTTGGCTTGGGGGCAGGGCTGCCCTGGATCTGCAGGGGGCCCTGCTCTCCCCACGGCCTCCCTGCCTTTCTGGTGGTCGAGGGGTCTTCCTCACACCGCTTGCCTCGGCCTCATCTCAGGCCTGTCCCGTTTTTCAGGGCGGAGGTAGCAGCATCCCTCGGTGCTGAGCCCGTGGAAGGACGCTCCTGGCTGGGAGTCTTCCTCCTCCGCCCCCCCACCCCAGGGCCTGCAGTCTGTCTTGGGTGACCCGCCGGCCTCTCCTCCCCCTCCTTTCCCTTCCCTTCCCTTCCCTTCCCTTCCCTTCCCTTCCCTTCCCAGGGCATTGGTGTGTCGGGGAGAGGGAACCCTATCGGCCAGCTCACCCGCCCCCCCGCTCGGATCTTCTTTTGCCCACTTCCTGTAGGAAGGCCGGCCGTGGGGAAAGGGGGCAGCCTCGGGTGTCGGGCTGGAGTGTCTGGCTGGGAGTGACTCACAGGAGAAACGTGTGGAGCGTCTGAGAGGCAGAGAGAAGGGGAGCGGCAGCAGCCGCCTGCCTCCAGGTGGTGTGTCAGCTCGGGAGGGAAGGGGTCAGCCACGCTCCTCTTGCCTCGCCGTGCCAGCTGGCGGGCAGAAAGGGTCCCTCAGCAGTTCTGGGCATGCCACGGGTACCCGGCCCGGCGGCAGGACCTGCAGACTCTCCAGGAGCAGGGCGCTCCTTCCCTGCCATCAGGTTGCGGGTGCCAGGACGTTTCTGCAGGCCCGGTCGGTGGCCAAAGGGCTCTGCAAAAGGGGCGCAACCCTCTCCAGGCTGCTTCGGTCCAGGCGGCCTGAAGACTGGCACGTGCTCCAAGGGGCTGGTGTGGTCTGGAGCAGGGTGCTGCGCGCCGGGCTTTCGCCTTTCCTTTCCCGTCGGCTGGAGAGTCCTCCTCTTCGCCTGCCCCCCGGCCAGCCGGGGAGGGGCCTCGGCAGCAGGAGCTGTCTCCTGTTTCGGAGGGGAAGCCTGAGCTGGCATCCAGCTCCGCTCCCTTTCCCTGGCAGAGGTGCCTTCGGCAGGCAGGGCGCCTCGTCCTCCCGGACGAGTCCAGCACACCCTGCTGGGGAGGGCTGAAAGCGCTTATCGCTTTTCCCGGAGACGATGATCTGTTTCAGCGCTCCTTGACAGTTACAATAACAAGGCTGGGCGCTCTGTTTCCCAGCAAAAGGACACTTGCGGCTGCCGCTGAAAGATGTATAGCGCTAATTAGAAAGGCATAACATCCGGCCACATGGCAGCCTTCTCCCGGCCGATCCGCTTCCTGAGACCCGACAGCTTTGACGACAGTTGGTTTATGTTTTCCACGAATATTTTGTTCTCTGGGAAACCAGAATCCTCTCGGCAGCACGAGGCAGCCCAGGTAGCCTGGCGGAAGGGGCGCGGGACCTCGACTGGGCACTGGACCGGCCGGAACTCCCAGGCCTGGCTCGGAAGACCGCCGGTCCTCCCACGCCCGGGGCCAAAAGAAGACATGTGGAAGCCGCCTGCCCCTCCCCTCGCCGGGGGGGGG